ACCTGGTGCCTCTGTCACCTGGGCATTGGCACAGCATGACCTGTAACTCTATACAACCACTCTTGCAGTTTGCACCGTTTCTGGGCCAGGGGAAAGAAACACTATAGTACATCCTTGGTGGTATGTCCTCAACGCTAAAGGTGACTGTGTCAGAATGCCACAAAGATTTTTGTGTTTCGCCAACACTGATGTGGAGGAAGACACTTCTTTGGCATGTGGGGACGATTTCAAGAGTAGAAGGGCTTAGGTAAGAGAAAAAGGCAAATTAAATAACTTGTCAGATCCTTCCTTTCAGTATGAATGCAATAAATTGTGGCAAAACTAAGTACGATTTCTCAGTGGGACTGAGGGTCCATTTTCTTGCTTCTCTTAGGATTCTTTCAATTCATAGTTGCAAGGGTACTTATGAAATATTATGACAATAACTATATTAAACAATTCACATTATATTTTTGCATATGTAGGTCTAGATATAGCATGTGAAGCAGGATACCAATTCTTTACCTGTCAAGTAATAGACATTGCACACTAGAATTGGAATCCTTTTATTTATGTATAAAATAAGATTTCACTAAATTTAAATTTTAGCTTGAGACCATTTGATTAAAAAAATTGGTATTCATTAATTATACGTACTTTGCCTTTTAATTTTAATATGTAGTTTTGAATAATTTAGAAGAAAAAATCATGTTTTTCTTATTTTACTTTTTTGATGAAAATAACAAGTTTGATATAATTTTAGTACAGTATTATTTGTAATACTTTAGATTATTATAAGCAGGTGAACAAACATGTGAAAATCTAGATTTTAATAGCATAACTAGTGGTTTTGTCAAAATGAAGACAAGAAAATAGAATTTGTAAAATAAATATACAATAGTTCTTCAATTGTATGTCATTTTCATTACTCATCTAAACATCAGTCTATTAGTGGAACACTCAGACATTCGCAATAATAATTGTCTTATATTTTGCCAACTTTTAATCATATCAAAATCATAGTTCTGCATTTTTTTTTACTTCATACGAAAGATGTATACTTTTATCCTTGTCAGGGTAAAAGTATAAACCTTGTTAGCTTTTAATTTATAATATAGTGCTTAATGCTTAAATATTTAGACAAATGGTACATGGGATTTTATGTTCTTGCCCCAGGGCCCACAAATGGAGAAGCAGGCCAATAAGATAGACCAATCTCTGTCGTTAAGAAACTTATAGTCCAGAAGGAGACAAACGCAGGCCATTGTGATTGTTGTGATACAGTAACAGAGGGCTAGGGAAACTCACACCAGGATGGGTGCTATCAGGGAGTACTTCCTGGAAGAAGTTATCTCTAGGCTGAGAGCTAAAGGATAAGTAGGTGTTTTGTTTATAACCAGGTGAAGGGAGGGGAAGTGTGGAAGTGAAGAAACATAAGAGGAGAGTTCTAGGCAGAAGAAACGGTATATATCAAGGGCAGCAAAGTTTTTCCATATAGGGTCAGATAGTAAATATTTGAGACTTTGCAGGGCATATAGTCTCTGCTGCAACTACTTCATTCTGCTGTTGAGTATTGTATATTGTGTTGTTGTATATATTGTAAGCAATACACAAATGAAGAGCTGTGGGTTTGTTCCATTAGAACTTTATTTACAAAATAGGCAGCCTGCCAGCAGATCCTTGTTTGCAGGCTCCTTGGTGTTCAGGAAAGCCCAGAGTTGGAAGAAAGCATACTTGAGGCTTTAACAGGCCATCAGTATGGCTGCTGCATAGAGGATGAGGTGGGGCAGGGTGTGAGGGGCCTGGGGAGCTAAGAACAAGGCTGCAGACATTGGATGGGAAGGAGATATGAGCATTGGAGAGGACGCTGCGCAGACATTGGATGGGAGGGAGATGTGGGCACTGGAGAGGATGTTGCTGTCGGCATCCTGGCCCAGGTTAGTAGACAAAAGGAGAGGGGAATGTTATGGAGAGAGATTCAGTTAGTGGTAGGGAAGAAGAGGGAAGGAAGGGGTCAAGGCTGACTCCTACAACTGCAGCAGGCAGTCAGGGAGAAGACGTGGGAGAAGCAGATTTGCAGGGGGCTGAGGATAGATAATGGGATATTCCCCAGAAGGCTCAGTTCAGTTCACACACACACCTTGTTGGCTATATGTAAAAACGTTTTGTCAGAAATGTGACTGGCAGTATCTATGAAAGTACAGTCTATAAATCCTGAGAAAGTCAGGGGAAAGCTGAACATGCAGACCTAAATACCTTTGTAATGACAATCCTGGGGGAAAATGACTATTGACAGATTTTCTCTCGCCTATGGAAACTGCAGGCTTTAGTCACTCTGGTTCCCTTTTATTCACAACTAATTTAACAATGGCACAAGGACCCAGTATATGCTGATAACAATGGGCAATTTGGTCAGGAAAGACAGCTTTACCCAGGCAGTAAATCTGGACAACCAGATGGATTGGCACGTCAGACATCAAGCATCCCCAAAATGCAGGATTTGCTGCTGTCTAGGGAGTGGGGGTGGGGGTGGGGATGTTGATATTCCTACAGCCCCTCACCCACAGCCACCTCTGGAGTGGGAGCCTGCATAAGATGAGGGTGTGCTGGAGAGAGGTGGGTATGGGGGGCAGCCTTGGTGAGCACTCCTTGACATATATTCTCTCTGGGGTGGGTTAGCTGTAAGCGTGGTTCATCTGTGAAGCCAGAAGAAGGGTAGCATTTGCAGGGCTGAAACATTTTAGAGGTTCTTTGTCTGGGTGTGAATTTATGAGCCTATGGCATTTGTCATCAATCAGACATATACTCCATGCAGCAACTGCCTTATGACGAAAGCTACGGGGCTGTTTGAGGAGCAGTGACCCCCACAACACAGCGGAGGCAGCTGCAGCCTAGTGCCTCTCAGAACCCCATCGCAGGGCTCAGGAGTGCCAGAGGCCGCCATCATCTCACCGGGATGAAGGCCCCCCTGATTCCCTTCTTGCCCCCTTCCAATCTGTTATCCATTAGGCTGCCTGAGTGTCCTTTTTAAAATGTAAAGTAGATCTTGTCACTCCTCTGTTTAAAAGCTTTAACAGTTTCCCACGCATGTAGAAGAAAATCCAAACTCCTCCCATGGCCTATAAGCCTGCCCACTGTGGCCCAGGTCTCCCTCTCCGGCCTCTCCCCACTAGAATTCCTCCGACCCAAGCATGCTTTCCCTCAGCTCATCCAATACCCCAAGCCCCTTCCTTCTGAGGGTCCTTACTGTTCCCTTATTCTAGGAAACTTTTTGTCTACCTCTACCCTGAGTATGGCTGGCTCCTTCTCATATTTCAGATATCTGCTTAAAATCTGTTGCCTCAGAGGGCCTTTCCTGATTACCCAGGCTAGGTTCAGTCTGGCCCTCTCTTATTCTGGCTTAGCACCATGGTCTTTTTTTTTTTTATTATAAAACTTTACATAATTTATAATATTAATATTGTTTATATGTTTGCTTGTTTATTGTCATCTCCTCACCATGACCCACTAGACTGTAAGTTCCTTGGAGGTACGGATCATAATTTGTTCACCACTGTATTCCCAGAGACAAGCACAGTGCTTGGCACATGTATGTTCAACAGATACTTATTGAGTACGTGAATAAATGAATACATAAAAAGCCATGCAACTGATCCGTCAATCGATGGATCCAATTGATGTACCTGCATAATTTCTGTACCAGTTACCTATTGCTGGATTACAAACCACGGAATTTAATGGCTTAAAAACAGCAACTTATTATCTCATGTTTTGTGTGTTCAGTGGTCTCAACTGGGCAGTTTTTCTTGAGATATCTCATGTGGTTACAGCCAAATAGCAGCTGGGGCTGGAGTCATCTGAAGTCATAGTTGATGCTGGCTGTCAGCAGGGAGTACAGCAGGGCTGTTAACTAGAATGCCTGCACGTGGACTCTCCCTGTGGCTTGGGCTATTCACAGCTTGGTCACTGGGTTTGAGAGGAAGTGTCCCAAGAGAGTAGCTCCTTTTCTCTAGTAGACCCAAACGGAAGTTGCAGGCTCCTTATGAGCTAGCCTTAGAAGTTCCACAGTGTCATTTAAGCCATATGCTAATAATCACAAGAAAGTCACAAGGAAGTCCAGATTCAAGGAAGGGAATTTCACAAAGGCATAAAAACTAGCACTGAGAGACACAGTTTACTGGAGGCCATCTTTGCAGACTGGCTGCCACAATCTCGCTTATATCATGATTATGTCAATATTTCTATTCCTAGTTTACATTCTTTTATTTCTCTTAAGCTCTTGCTCAGACCTTCTAGAGTTTATATCCTTTATTGCAATGACGCTTATTGGTAAAGGTTGAGCATCTCTTTCCCAAGTTTTCAAAGGGCTGGAATTAGTCACTTAATTTCTAGTTACTCCAGGAAACTGGTTTACATTTTGGACGCTAATTTGCTGTGTTAGGAGCCGCAGTCTTTCTGCGCCTCTTGGTGTGGAAGAAGAGAGGCCGGTGCTGCTGGCCAACATCCAGGAATCTTGGTGCTCACTGTTCACTGCCAAGAGCAGTGCGCTGACCCCAGCCAGCACTCCCAGCACTGAAATCACTGGCTTTGCGAGCCAAGCCTGAGAATTGAGTTTGGGATCATTTCAAGGGTAGGAGATGCCAGCCCTGTCTCAGTTTGCCTTGCAGCTAGTGTTTTCATCCAAATGTGAAAAGCTCTCCCTCTCCACCTCTCTTGCATGCTCCCCACCCCCCCTTTCCAAATGTCCTTCCAGCTGCTATTTTTGAATCTGGCCTCAAGGCAAATGTTTCACTGTAGCAGAAATACTGTAAAATTCCTTCCCTTGTTCCCACAGATAATAGGACAATTCCCTAGAGAACCCCAGAAACCTACCACTTCAGAAATGGCCAAAGGCAATCCCAAAGAGCAGATCTAAGGAAATAGAACTATCACAAAAGGTTGTCATCAGAGGGATGGGTCAGACAGTGTAACTGTTTTTAATGGCACTGGCTGAGTCTCCATACATTTTCTTTCTCTTTCAGGTATGAGGTCAGTTTCAAAGCACCAAACACAATGGAAGAGCAGAAAATAGTATGAAGTTTGATGGGCCTGTAAACACACAAACCTGGGATATAAAAAGAACTTTAGTGGGCAGTGTATAAACAAGGAGAAAATCCTATCCAAAACAACTTGCAAAAGTGCAGAGGAAGCAGCATCCTTGATAAACAATGAATCATAAAACTCCCCCCACCCCTTTCTGATGGACAGAGAACACAAAAACGGACTAGCATGAATACTGCTGAGAGGTGTTTCCTTGTCACTGCGATTTCAGCACACCTGGGGGAGGCCTGAGGATGGTCCGTGTCAAGTTGAAGAAGTAAGACTGTCTGAATCATGAAAAGGAATCCTTCCATTAGACACTTTCAGAAACATGTGCGTCATCTTGAAGCAGTGCTCAGGCTAATTGGTTATTCCCTTCATGCTCCAGCTATTGAAATACGTATTTCACTGCAAATTCATGAGTTCAGTACTAAGGCAAGTTCAGATAGGTACCTTTATTGGATCCATTTTAAATGATAAAAACTGTATGAGAGAAAATGTGGAAGTCCTTCCTAAGGAAGAGGGGCAAGACAGAGTGTAATTTACAAAAGTTGATGACAGCCATGTGTTTCCTACAGAATTTTCCCAGGGATAGACACATAGAAAGGTGGAGACTTATAAGGACAAATGTTTAGGTGTTGAGTAGATCTGGCCTCATTCCTCATCCTTCGCTCTCTCCGTGGCCCTTACCATGTGACTTTATGGACAGCCGCCACCCTAGCCCTCAAAAGGGAAAGAATAGATTTTCCTACCCTTTGACTCTGAGTTTGGCCATCTGATTTACTCGAGCTGAAGGAACATTCACACATATGATGCAAATAGAGGCTTTAAAAAGCACTTGTTCAGTTGGACTGAACAAGTCACGCCTCCACCTCTGTCATTCCAACAGAAGAATGTGCCCAGGCTGGCTGGCTAGTCCGTGGGGTGCGGGGAGGGCCACATGGATCAGAGTTGCCTTGCTAAACTCTGCCTAAAGAAACCCCGGCTGACTGCCCAGGATGAGTGAGCTCAGTCTAGATCAGCCGATCCCTAAATGCCTGATGCATGGACTGTAATAATGCATGGATTACTATTGTTATGCAACAATGACTAACCAACAGAGGTGTGATGGGCTCTTATTCTCTCTCTAGGTAGTTCCCTAACCTCAGAATAGCTCTAATAACATAAGGGTTAATAAACAAATGACTCCACAGAGACATTAGTCCATATTTACATTATAGGCCTACTATTTTTATCCAAAGCCACAGAAAGCCTTCCTGAGTCTAAGGAAAGATCCGAAGACTTAATCCAAATGCTCCATTTGGGCTTAGCTGCCTTCACCAGGATTCAAGTGCAAGTAGTTTAAGTGGTGTAAGTGTGGGAGTGGGTAATACCAGGGAGGAAAAGCAGACAGTCAAGGATGTGTTACCAAGCCAGCTACTACCATGAGCAACGGGACCTTAATCCCACTGGGCAAGTCTGCGAGCCAATGCAGAGCACACCCCAGAGAAATCCCATCGGAGGGATGGGCAGCTGGAGCACTTCTTCAGCTCCGGCCAGTCCCTGGCTGAAGGCCACACCGGGGGAAAAGTGCCAGATGCTTCCAGCAGCCACACCAGCAGGAGCCAGAGAGCACCAGCAGCAGAGGGACCGCAGGTGCAGGCTGCTGCAAGCCTGCTAGTCCTGTATGAGAGGTGGCAGGGCGAAGGCATGGTCAGACAGGCCACTGGCAGCATGTGCTTCTCCTCTGTTATGGCTTTGCCTTTTGTGGGGAGCATGAAGTTCACATGGTAGGCTGGTTGCTAGGTGGGTCAAGCATGTGCAAGCCAGGTCGGAGCCATGAGATACCTTGTGCGCTGACCACAGTGATGTGCTCCTCCCTGCCAATTTTCTTTCATATTTTACATTTTCCTGTGGCTTCTCCATTCCTTTCTCCTACCCTCATATCACTTTCTAGGGTGTCCACCCCACTGGGGTGAAGACGGGTGGCAACACCAGTGACTGGCTCTTATTGCAGCTGCCCACAAAATGATCATTTAGGTCTGTCGGGGCCATGGAGCAAAGA